CTCTAGTTCCACTGGTAAAAGGCTGTAACGAAAGTTGCCAAGTTCTAGATATGGATATGTGGAAGTGATATATATAGCTGATTAACACTGATATTTATAGATAAGTGAAGGATCAACTAACAACACACTACCAAGAGAAGGGGAATAAGGTAAAAATAAAACCCCCACATTTTTAGCCCAAATGTTCCCTTTTCAGCTTCAAAATAATAGCTTGAGAGAACATTTTGCAAATGCAGCAGAATCACAATATTGATCAATGTATAAAACTAGAGCCCCTTCATACTAGAGTATCAATACCATCAGCAGTGATAGGAACATTCACAGACCACTTGGTTGAAAAATTTAGATAAGCCAGCAGTTAGTCTTGATATATACACGTGAGATGACAACAAAGTCGGCGTATCTTTCCATCTGAATGAATCCAACTACATTTCAAACTTAAATGGATACCTGGGCGCACTGAGAAATGGCTTCATCCAGCGCCAGCGCTCGCTTTTTGACATCTTCCTTAATTTTGTTGTAAAGGTAGTCAGCTTTCGTGTAGTTCTCTTGGATAAAGAAGCCTTCAGCTGGGCTCAACTCCAACAACTGGGGCCCCGTTTTGTTCATTTTATCCATATGGGGCTTGTGCTCCGCAATCAGCTCACGCAGTTGCTGTAACAAACCAAACAACTTATCAGTTTCTCATGCTTGCACCATTGTGCTACAGCTGTCCGCACTCCTAATACACCCAGCTGGTGAGCAATTCCAAACACACACCCTTGGTCCTAATGTACAGCACAAATAATAACAAGTACAGGCAGTGCTTGCTCTGCCAGTGACGGCTCCCTTTCCAACACTGGCGGCTCTCCAGTCGTAAAGCACCACAGTTAAAGACATATGGGAAAGGTCTAGGCAACAGACCTGCAGAGCACACGACAGGAAAGAGGCTAACTGTGTATACGCCACTGGCAAGGGGCACTCCCTGTCATTTTTAGCCCTCATAGTGACAGAAGTGGCAACAGGACTCCAGACAGCTGTGGAACACCTCCAGGCACATCCCCTTCATGCTCAATACTTCTTCGAGTACCTCACTTCCATTTGCTTTTACCAGCGGATGTGACAAAGGCGAAAACTTGGGAGTATCCCAGTCTTTCCTGCCAGTTTGATTTGCTTCCACCGTTCATCCCTATCCTGGTGGGGCCTTCTCCCTCCCAGGGCAGTGAGACATCTATCCTACAGCAGTCGTGCAGGAGCAGGAGAGGCCAGAGCAGAGAGATGCTCTGCTCCTCCTAGCTCAGGCTTTGTTTAAATTAATGAGAGCTCAGAAGGGGCCTTGAATCAGTCCAAGTATAAATAAATCCTCTTTTATTCAGTCTGGTAGCTTGTTTAGATGCTCCAGAAGAGAAGACTGAAAGAACAGTGACCATGATTGTCCACTGTCCTCTGATGACAAAAAAAAGCAATGAAAATACAAGGAAAACTGTCTCTACATATGTACTGAGAAAGGAATTCTACCTGTTCATGTCGCGACAGGAAAAATGAAGTTGTTTAGAAGAGGAAAGAATAAAGCCAGAAATGTTTCAAAGTTTTCAGAAAATCATTTTATGTGTTTTATTTCTGTTCACTAACAGATCACTTCACACAAGGCCAGAGAGTCCCCATTTCTAGATACAAACCTATTGTCAGTAACCTGCCCAAGGGTAAATTCCAGCTAGACTGACTGCATGTCACTAACACAGTCAGCTCTGTGCAGGTTGCAATTGCAGGCAGAATGAAGTTAGTAATCCGTAAATATATACAGATATAGAAGTGAACAGGTAAGTGAAAAGATATGTAAGTGAATACAAAAAAGTCTACTCACATTCAGAACAACTTTTTTTTTTACTATAATTATAAATGATTTGGTCTTTGCCACGACCAACTACTGAATAAACAATTCTAGTAAACCAGTATTTCAGATCATATTGCTTGCTAAAATTGCCTGACATTAATCTCATACTCAACAAACAAATCTCCAGCTAATGGCATAGCCCAGGGAAATCAGAAAACCAGAAACTCATACGAAGAATGATTAAAGGGGATGGGGAACAATTTGGGAAACAATTCTGTAAGTCAAGCAAGAATGAGGTTGGTCACGGTGACTATGGAAAGTATTTTGTAAAGCTCGTATAATATAGCTAGTCTCATCAGAAAATGCTTGTTCATGGTGGGCCTTATATACAGGCTTGACTTTTTCTTTTGGATGTTGGACTACTGAGTGTGCCTTTCCCTAATACCTCCATGCCAGAGTATTTACACAGGCTGCCTGTGCCCAGGAGTAGTGTTGACGTGAACATATTTGTGATTCTGGACTTCTAGGGCCACGATACAACGGCAGCAGG